TAAGGAGCTGTGCTGTCAACCGAAGGCATGTGGTTCGAATCCACCAGTGGCTCTGAGGAGAAAGATGGACAGTCTCCTCGTGTGGGAGTCACCAAAGGCCCAGTGGAGGTCAGCTGAGTCAGTTCCAACTTCACAGCAACAACAGGCTAAAAGACCCAGAGGCCTGCACTTCTACAGGCTGGACAGCGGCCCGCAGCTCTGGTGTCCTAGGGTCTAAGAAGCTGTGCTGCCAACCCAAAGGCAGGCAGTTTGAATCCAGCAGCTGTTCCTCAGGAGAAAAATGGCCACTCCGCCCATGTGATCGACAGCCTCTGAAAACCCCCCCAGTGGGTCAGCTATGAGTCAGTTCTGGCTTGGCCAGTGAGCTGAGTGGAGTCGAGGGTTAAGCAAGCTGTCTTCAGGTACAACACAGACTTTCTGTCACCAGACGACCTTTGCCGTCTGACCACCATTCCTGGCCCCTGACACCAGTAGAGGTTTACTTGGCCTTCTCCTGCAGGCGGGTGGACACGGAGGGGCGGGCAGGCGCCTGTGGCCCGGAACCCAGCATGGCCACTGCTTGGTCTTCGTCTGAGACACTAGCTTCTGCATGGCCTCTACCCCCACCCCCCAGCTTTAACTTGTTGTTTACCAGGATTCCCCACAGCCCTTGTCTCTAGGGTGATTGGGGTTTTGGGGGAGCCCCACTTTCCCCTAGGGGACTGTTTGTCTGCATTGGGGGGACTTTTGGGGGGCAGTGTCTCACCAAGGTTCCTGTGGCACTCTTCTTACTAAATGTTGCACCTGTCAGGGTGGATTCAGGGAGGAGGGCCACGCCCGACAAAGCAGGCTTGTGCCCACCTGGACCATGGAACGCTGCCAGGGCTCCGACCTGACCCTCCATCTCCTCCTCTTCCTCAGCACTCCCCGCAGATCAAACACTCCAGCAGCCAGTGTGGGTCACGTCTCCATGTGAGAGGAAAAGAGCCCCTCCCCACTGGGCCAGTGTGGGTCACGTCTCCATGTGAGGGGAACAGAGCCCCTCCCCACCGGACCAACAGGCAACATTGGGGTTAGAGGAGCTGAGATAGTGGCCAGAGTCCAGTTATGCAGGATCTTTCTAAAGAGGAAAGGATTTTTCTAGAAGGATCTCTAATTTTCTTTCCTCTGAAAGAAAGCCTTGCTGAAAAGTCAGGGTCGGGGAGAAATCAGAGGGGACAACAGGCACTGGCTGGGACTCCTGTGTCCTGAGCAGGAGGACCTTGGACACTCAGGGACATAGCCTGGCCTGGAGGAGATGGTCACTGACGGGAGGACCCATGAGAGCTGCAGGTGTCTCCTTGTCACAGGCCTCTGGGCTAAAGCACCCTTGTCAGAAAGGCTCTGTCCAGGATTCTGGGGTTCACAGGGCCTGGGCCCCCCAGCAGCCAGCTCACTACAGGCCTGGGCCGCTCAGGCCCCTGCTCAAAGCTGGTTCTGCCCACCCCTTCCCGGGGGGTCACATTCCTGGGACTTGAGGCTCCTAGCCATATAAGGCGGCCTGTGGGCACCTCGGTGGAATCCAGGCCCTCACCCGCCCCCACCCCCCCGTGGGAACCAGGGTTTGGCCAGGCCCCCAGAGACAGAGATGGGGGAGGAGCACTACTGAATCTAAATCCTATGAAGGGGAGGGGGTGTACAGCCCCCAGGCCTGGGGTCAGGCTTCCAGGGGCTCTGTGTCTGGATACCCTGGGGGGAGGCTGCCACTCTTGGAGGAGAGAGGTGTAAGGTGGGGAGTAGGGAGGACAGGAGGACCAGGTGAGGGAGGGAGGGGATGCTGGTATAAAGCATGACCCCTGATCCTGCTCTGGGGGGGCGGGGAGGTGTAAACCTGATTGTTCCTGGGGTCTCCTGTGTCTCACTGGATAGCTGGAATCAAGACCCAACACTATACTCTCCAGCCTCAGTGAGGTGCTGGGAGGTGCCCTGAAGGCCCCCCAACTCATCAGAGGTGCCTCAAGGGAGTTCTCAGCCCCCTCCCAGGGGTCCCAGGACCCCTTAACAACCCTGTTTCTAAGGCCAGAGAGCTGATTGGTTTCTTGGTGGCTCTGATCTCAGGCTGACTGGGTTCAGGATGAGGAGGGCACCAAAGGCCCCCCTGCACCTCATCACTGCGTATGGCAGTCCCAGGGCTCAATCGAGGAAGTGGGGGTGTGGGTACAGCAGGAGTTGGGGCATGGGTACAGCATGCTTGCTTCACAACTCCTTCCAGAGTCAGGACCCCTGAAGCTGCCTGGGGCCTCAGAGGGTTGGGCACCCCGGGGTGCTCTGGTGCTTCTTCCCTGCCAGGTGTGCATAGACAGGTGGGACCTGGGTCCAGAAAGAAGAAGTAAGATGTCTGTGGCCAGTCAGGCCAGATGACACCACCCACCGCCAGGCCACCAGGAACCGGGCTTCCCTGGGGACCGAGTGGAGTGACAGGACAGAATGCCTTGCTGCTGTGAAAGGTGGGTGGCTGGCTCTGCCTCTGCAGGACGTGGGGCCCCCAGAGTAGGGCTGGGTTAATCCCTGGGGAGCAGGAAGCTGCATGGTGCTTTATCTCCAGGAAGCCAGCAGGTGTCTGGTCATGTAGTTGTCCCCATGGTTACAGCCACATGAGTGCTGTCCCCATGGTTCCCCCATAGGCCATCAACTTCCCCAGCTCACCTGCACTACAGATGTCTCAGCACCCAGGATGGGGTGCTGCCTGTCTGCACCATCCATGTACCCACTGGCCTTATCTGTACAGCAGTGACCACCAGCCCAGGCCTCTGTGGATGGGCAGCCCCTCTGAGCCCTGGCCCGTCACTGAAAACTCAGCTGGGCTCTGGCTTGTCACAGGCCCGCAGTGTCCAGCTGTGTGGTAGGCACCGACACAGGTCACTACTGAGAGGGAGGGTGTCCAGAGTAGTGGCAGCATGGACATGTCCTGCTGGATCTGGGGGTCCTCAGAGCCTGGTGGCCAGTGGTTTCTAATAGCCTCGGGAGGGGGCGCTGGACAAGGGCAGGGGACACAGCACTGAGTACAAGGCATGACTTTTTCAGATCCACCAGCACAGGCCTGTGTCTGACCCCGCACTCACCTCAGGAAGCCCCCAGCCCTTACTAGGCCCACCTTGCTGTGGAGAAAGGTGGCGTCCAGCAGGACAGAGAGCACTCCTGGCCTAGGGAGGGTCTCCACAGTCCTTCAACCTTCTCAGCCCTGTCCTTCTGCTCAGCTGTCCCTGACCCCTCAGTCGTGTGAGCTCTGGGCTGGACCCTAACTCCTAAAGTGCTCCCCAACCCCCAGCTGTGCCCAGTCTGTGTCCCCTCCTCAGGGCTAACGGTGCGCTACACCTATCAGCCTGGTGCCCACCCTCGCAGCCGCTCCTGGTTTCTGCCCCAAGACAGCTGAGACCAAAAAGGAAACTGGGTAGGTGGGAAGACCACCCCCTACACCACCACCACTACCCCACACCACACACACACACACACACCCTGTCTCCCACCACCACACCACACACACACACACACTCACACCCTGTCCTGATGGGCACCACTCCCACCACCACCACCACCACTACCCCACACCACCCCACACCACACACACACCCCTCACCTACCCTCACCACATCCCCCCCACACCCCACCCCCTGTCCTGATGGGCTCCAGGTGGAGCTTCCACTTCTGTCTGTGAGCACCAAGGCGCACCCCCTGCAGTCCAGTCACTTCCGACCCCCAGGAACCAGCCTTCAGTTTCTGAGGCTGTAAATCAGAACCGGAAACTCCCAGCTTCTGCTCTCAGAGCTGCTGGTGGATTCGAACCATTGGAGGAACAAAGTTGTTTGGTCAGAGGCACACTGTGCTCTGAACTGACCACCAGAGCACCTGGCCTGATAATAGACCCACATGTACAAAAAGCCAGACACTTCTAAGCCATAAGCAAACACCTGGCAGAAATAGTTTGCTGGGCCTGGGGGCTCAGGACCCCAGCTGTGCTGCTACTGGTCTCTCCTGGCCGGAGCAGAGAGATGAGGGATGAAAACAAAAACCTACACCAAAGGGCTAATGCATCAGGGACTCCAGTGTCCCCAACCCTGAAGCCAGAAGAACTGGCTGGTGCCCCGCCTTGACCACCAGACTGGGTTGTGGCAGAAGGCTCCTGGCAATGCGACGGAAATGGGGAGCAAAACTCAAAAGAATCGACCAGACTCACTGTTCTGAGAGAGATCGTGGACCCCTAGGAATTACGACTCCTAGTTGCTCTTCAAGCCCAGAATTTAAATCACCCCCATGATTCAGTCTTCAGGTAAACAACAATCAGGCCTTATAGGCGATCAATAATCCCAGGCAAGTGGGGAGGGGGAGAAAGAGCGGCTGTGCGCAGGGCAGGGGCGGGGGAGGAGTGCAGGGTGTGTGCAGGGCGGGGCGGGCAGGGAGAGTGCAGGCGGGGGTGGGGGGCGAGGGTAAGCAGGGGGGCATACAGAGTGGGGCGACGCGGGGGGGCGGGCGCTCTGGCCGGCAGGAGCAGGGTTACTAACCCCCTGGCACCGCTGTCCGGCTGACTCAGCGCTGTCTGGTGACCCGCAGCCTGGCCTCCCGGGGACTCGGAGCGCCCAGACCCCAGTTCCTGCCCCTGGACGCAGTAGGGATGCAGTCAGGCCTCGGGGACAGTTCCAGGTCCCAGGGTGCTGAAAGAGAGTGGGTCTCTGTGGGGGCGAGAAGGCCCCTCAGGAGAGGCCTGGACCAGGGAACCTGGCTACTGCAGAAGGCTCCCGCTGCCCCTTGCGCGGGGTGGTCACCTCGGGGACGATGGTCCCCCAGATGCAGGATTTCGGGTTGACTCCCGCCTCTCCGAACGAACGCCCATCCCCCTCGAGAGCGTCTGGTGTGAGAGTCCCGCCTCCTCCCCTCCCCCAGGTGTGAGAAGGACCGCCTGGCCCCGGAAGCTGGGGGAGGGGTGTCCCCACAGCCCATTTCCCACCCTGCCCAAGGTTTGGGGACTAGGGGACAGAGAGCTGGGGATGCCGGTGCAGCTTCGGGAAGACTCTGGGATTCAGGACCTCAGCCTTTGGCCACTGGCCACCAAGAGTGATGTCAGCCCCACTGTCCGCTGGGACGGTCCTCCTGACCAGATTGGGCCCCAGAGACTGTGAGGGGAGAGCTGCCAGCCCGCCAGCTGCTGCCCCCACCTTTTTCTCCCCCCCCCCAACCACCTTCTGGGGCTTCCCTGGTCATCTGACCCCATGGTCGGAGGGAGGAGGGCTGGTGAAGCCACCCAAGCGCAGACACAGCTGGGCCCAGCCAGAGGACCGGCCTGTTTGCTGCCCATCCCCAGCCTGTCCAAGGGTGGAGGGGGCTCAAGGACCTTGAGGGGGCAAGTGGCACTTGGGGTGACTCTCAGCACATAGTGAAGGACAGGTGTGAGGAGCCATGACTGATGCCCCTTCACAGGTGCCCACAGCCAAGACCTCCAACCAGGACCCTTGGCTGGTGGGGCCCCCAGTTCTGATTAGCCCCTCTGGGAGGGGAGGATCCCTCCCCTGCTGCCCAGGAGGTCAGAAAGCAGGGTGACCTCACTGGGGTCCTCAGACCCCCCCACCGTCATGCACAGCTGGCAGCGTGTATCTAGAGGACGGGCACAGGCTGGGGGGTGGGGAGAATTCGAACCCAGCGCCTGTGAGGACTTGTGACCCCCAAGCCGGGGACCCGAGAGTCCAGCCATGAAGTGGCCTGTGGAACACTGAGCCTGTGGCTGCCAATTCAAGGCCTGGTGGCTGAACAGATGCCCCGCTGGACGCCGCCCAGCTTTCTGGCTCCGGCCTGGCGCCCGGGCCACCGGGGGCGCTCGGCTGCCGCGAGGTGCCCGAAGTTGGGGAAACAAAGGGGACGGTCGTCGGCCTGGCCTGAGCCGCCGGCCCGCGGAAGACAGGAGCGCTGAGGACCGAGTTGAGGACCGCGGGCTGAGGACCAGGGCATCCAGAGCGCAGCGGGCCGCCCCGACCGCCCCGCTCCCGTTGGGGACACCGAGTTCCCACGGCTTGGCTCGGGGCCAGCAGGTGTCCCCTCCGGGAGGCCAGCCAGCCAGGGGCGCAGGGGTTAAGCCGGCCCGCCCACTCCCGCTCCCTCCC